CTATCTCCAGAGGTTAGGTCACTGAGGCAGTTACACACCTCCTTGGCTGCAAGGTTCACCCTGAGTTCCTGTAGTCTCTGTATGTTGTAGGTCTTGACTGACACACCTCTGGAGACTTGCGTGGAGATCAGGGCGGTACGTCTGAATGGGAACCACCACCCCAGTCTGCAAATCTTTAAGAAGAGGGACTGGAGGGTGTATTCCAACTACAGGAGATCACACTCCTCAACTTTCGTGGGAACGTTTATGCCAGGGTGCTGGAAAGGAGAGTTTGTCCGTTAGTCAAATCTCGGAAACAGGAGGAACAATGTGGTTTTCGTCCTGGTCATGGATCACTGGACCAGCTCTTTATCTTCTCGAGGATACTTGAGGGCGTATGGGAGTTTGTCCAACCAGTCTACATGTGTCTTTTGGACTTGGAAAAGGCATTCAACCGTGTCTCTCGGAGTGTCAGTGGTGGGAGATGCCTCGGGAGTATGAGGTGTCTGGGACATTGCTATGGACCATTCGATCTTTATACAACTGTTGCAAGAGCTTGGTCTGCATATCCGGCAATAAGTTTGACTTTTTTCCGGTAGGTGATGGACTCTGCCAGGGCTGCCCTTTGTCACCGATTCTGTTCATAATTTTTATGGACCGAATTTGTAGGCATAGTGGAGGAAGGCTTTCATTTGAGTGGCCTCAGAATCTCATCTCTGCTTTTCGCAGATGATGTGGTTCTGGTGACTTCATCAGGTGATAGTCTACAGTTCGCACTGGAACGGTTCACAGCCATTCAGCCAAGTGTGAAGCAGTGGGAATGAGAATCAGCACCTAAATCTGAGGCTATGGTCCTGAGCCGGAAAAGGGCGGAGTGCATCTCTGGGTCTTGTTCACGACTGACCAGAGAAGGGAGCGGGAGATCAACAGCCAGATTGGTGCTTTGTCTGCAGTGATGCGGACGCTGTACTGGTCCGTCATGGTAAAGAGAGAGCTGAGTGTAAAAAGCAAAGCTCTCAATTTACCAGTCGCTCTACGTCCCTACCCTGAGCTATGGTCATGAGCTGTGGGTAGTGACTGGAAGAAGGACATAACACATACAAGTGGCAGAAATGAGCTTCCTTCGAAGGGTGGCTGGCCTCTCTTTTAAGCCGGGCAAACACTGTGCGATTTTTTTCAGTCATGTTATTCAGCTCCTGCTCAAACTGTACGACTGAATCACAGGGGTTAGAAGTTCGTAGGTCATAATGCAGGGTCTCACACTATACGGCCCGATGCTCTTATGCCACCTGAGTGCTCACACTGTGCATCTATAATATGAAGTGGTAATATGAAGCTTATAACACAAAATCTGTCTCTCACTCTCCCTCCCTCTCTCTCTGTCTTTCACTCACACAGACACACACCACCACCATCAACTTTGCTAAATTGCTAATGAAAAACATTGACCAGGCAGCTGTGATTGAGCAGCAATGTCCATCCAGCTCTTTTCACGGTTGTTGCGGTCGTGATAATTTTGTGAGGCCACATCGAAAAGGCTCGGATGAGCTTGCCATAGTTCTACAAGTTGTGCCTCCATCGCTTGTGTCCAGATCACACGCTGCACTGCCGTGCTGCTCCATCTTTTTCACTTCCATTTCTGTGTTTGTCCATGTGCAGGGTGGGTTTTGTTGACACCCTCATGAGGGGCGACAGGATTTCAAACAGGTTTGATTTTCTTGCAACGATACGATTGCTGATTGGGAGCTGGTCGTGAGGTGTTAATCGCTTCTCGTTACCCCATGTATATTACACGATGATGCACAACTCACGATTAAGGCGAAACTCAGGCCGATACTTAAAACGACTGAATAATCATTTCTAAATGGGCCAAAAATTGCACAGTGTATGCCCACCTTAAGAGACAGTTCAGCCATCTGAAGTGGCTCAAAGTAGAGCCGCTGCTCCTCCACATCAAAAGGAGCCTGTTCAGGTGTTTTGGGCACCTGACAAGGATGCTTCATTTACAGATATAAATGGGCATTACCTGCATAGCAATAAAAATGTATGCCATGTCTTCAAATTATACTGCCAAAGGGAAGCATGTATAGTAGTGGTGCAACGGATCATGGTTGATCCGTAATCTGAACCGATCCCACTCCACGGTTCCTAAGATTCGAAAAAGAAGAAAAAAAAATATGTGTATGGTGGCGTGGTGGGTCTGTCAAGCAATAGTTATGGTCAGCGCTAGCGAAGTGGAGTGGAGTGAGTGGAGGAGCAGAGGAGTTTGCAGTATTTAAGCAACCCTTTGCTGCCCAATCCGACCGGGCTAAAGCTATTACAAAAGCTATTGGGGTGTTTAGCTGCAGACGGGAGGCCGTATTCCTTTGTGCTAAACAAGGGGTTTAAACTATGATGAACGTGCTCGAGCCATGCTATGATATCTCGTTGCGCGTCCACTTTAGTGGCAAGATCATTCCAAGCATGTATGAGCAGGAAAAGATTTAAGTTATGGCTGAAATGTCCCAGGCATATTCTGTTGCCCTAACTACTACAAATGGGTGGACCTCCGGGACAACGGAAAGCTACGTGACCGTGACAGCTCATATCACAGCAGAGTGCGATATAATGAGCGGTATGTATTATTGTAGGGTCTACCTTACAATATAAAGCGCCTTGAGGCGACTGTTGTTGTGATTTGGTGCTTTATAAATAAAATTGAATTGAATTGAATTGAGTGGTAGATACAAAGCCCTATACTGCCCCATATTGAACCATATTTTTTTTAATACTTGCGTGGAATGAATCTTGAGTTGAATGTTTTAACAGGCAAAAAATACTTCAATAAGTAAATGTTCAATTTTTGTCTTTTTTCTTTTTTTGCTGATCTGAAAATTGATCGGATCCGTGACTTAAAACTGTGATCCGATTCAATTCAATTCAATTTTATTTATATAGCGCCAAATCACAACAAAAGTCACCTCAAGGCGCTTCATAGATACAGAGAAAAACCCAACAATCATATGACCCCCTATGAGCAGCACTTTGGTGATAGTGGGAAGGAAAAACTTCCTTTTAACAGGAAGAAACCTCCGGCAGAACCAGGCTCAGGGAGGGGCGGGGCCATCTGCTGCGATCGGTTGGGGTGAGAGAAGGAAGACAGGATAAAGACATGCTGTGGAAGAGAGACAGAGGTTAATAACAGATATGATTCAATGCAGAGAGGTCTGTTAACACATAGTGAGTGAGAAAGGTGACTGGAAAGGAAAAACTCAATGCATCATGGGAATCCCCCGGCAGCCTACGTCTATTGCAGCATAACTAAGGGAGGATTCAGGGTCACCTGGTCCAGCCCTAACTATATGCTTTAGCAAAAGTTTGAAGCCTAATCTTGAAAGTAGAGATAGTGTCTGTCTCCTGAATCCAAACTGGAAGCTGGTTCCACAGAAGAGGGGCCTGAAAACTGAAGGCTCTGCCTCCCATCCTATCCTAACCGTTGCACCACTAATGTATAGTGTAAAGAACCACCAAGGTTCTATGAAATTCTATGAAAGTTCAACTGATCCAGTTGAAAATATCCATATTAGCTGAGCCCTGCATTTGCCACAGATCAATTACCCAGCTTAAAATGTAAAATGGATTTTGGATGTTATGGATGTTAAATCTGAAAAGCCTATGTGACCTCCTTCTAGAGGTACCACATTCACAAGATCTTCAGAAAATTTTATCTCTGACGTTGAGGTTGAGGCCACTGAGATTCAAACCTGTTAGAGATTTTTAATAGAAACACATATGGTATTTTAAAAGTCCAGGGTGACATCTTTCTCAAGTTATCGTGGTAACAACGGCTTTAGAAACATGACCTTGAGGTCAAAGTCCTTATGAGCCTGTGTGCAAGTTCCTCACCAACAATCGAATTTGAACACTACCAACAGCTATCTACTATCTTAGAAAACAAAATGCACAATGACATTCAGAAACCAAACACTCAAGCAAGAACAGAGCAGAAAATGGAAAAAACAACAGGACATAGGGCTGTTCACATGCTGGCTACACGGGACAGCAAACACACCCAGAGCCCAGGATACCAGCTGACACAACCGAGAGGGGGCAGGGGTGGCACCCATCCCCGTCACCCCTGCCATCTCCTGGCAGAGCAGAAGGTGCCCACCCCACCCCAGAGGGGTGAACACAGGACTCAGACACAAATTCCTTCAGGAGGACCCCGGACATGCACCGTGCTGGCCAACGCAGCACACGGGGGAGCGAAAGGAATGGGGAACGAGAAAAGGGGAAGTCCCCATGCATCCATGACCTACATCGATCCATTCCAGCTAAGGCAGAAGGGGGAGGCACAGTGCCTCAGGCAGCGATCTTTTAGTCTCAGTAAGGACTCAGTTTCAGGACCACCCTGCTCACCTGCCAACTCTGTCCAGCTCAACAGCCTTACCTGCAGTCTATTTCCATTTTGACTTATAATCTGCCTCTAAGTAAATAAAATCGTAAATATATGTTTGTGTCCTGTTCTTGGTTCCCTTTGCCTGGCTGTGGCAGTCAATGAGTTAGTAATGGAAGGCCATGAGTAAGTAACTTGTGACTGTAAGTTAGAAGAGTGTTGCCAAAAATATTGGTTATTGCATTTCCAAACGTTTCTACACCATGGCCATCAGTTATTGATATTGTGGCTATGTATTACAACAATACATGTTTTTTCCACTAATGTCAGCAGAGGACTCCTTACCCTCTGCTTACATTAGCTACCTTACTCAAACACATCTTTATTTTCCTCCATCTTCGGTCTAACTTTGATAATGAATAAGGTCATGACCCTGAAAAATCAATGTCCTAAAGAAAGAGAGAACAGCAGAAAGGAGGAAGGCTTGAGAAAAACAATATCACGACAAGGTTCCCAAGGGAGTAAACAACAAATGCATTAGAAGAAATAAGGTAATTATATAATAACATGGCATGCTATTCACATAGTTAGATGGGATACAAGTGGTACAGTGCAGAAAGGTAGTGAGGGTGGTGGTTGAAAGTACCTGGTGATATCCAAGTCAGGAAACAGACTTAAGATATAGTTAGGGAGTGGGGCAGAGTGGAAGATGCTTTTGTCACACTCCACTGAGGAATAGTGTCGGGGGGAGGGCACTTTGTCACTTAGTTTGTTCACAGTGCTGTAAACTGGCTCAGGAGGCCTATATTGAAGCGAGAGACAAGAGCAGAGAGATTAGTGTCCAGAGGCAGAGGTGGAATAGAGGTGGAGCAGATGGAGTACAATAGACTGGCATAAATACATACGTGAAAGATGGGAAGAAAACACATAACGCACCTTGAGATGTGGCTAAAAGGGGAAAAAATACTGTACACACTGAGAAGTCTTACTGGTCAACACACCCGATCTAGGGGTGTCATGCGTTGCACACTTACTAATTCATAGTAACACAAATTTTTACTTAATTACAAACTTAAATGGTCAACAGTTCACTTCCACAAATCCACTTGATTTCTTATTGAGTAATAGTGTCACTTTGATCCATGTCCTCCACAGAATTATATATTTACACATTTATACTTTGTTAGGTATGTCTGTTCAGTTGCCTATTGTGATCACATGGCAGCAAATCAGTACATATAAGCATGCAGCTGTGGTCAAGATGGTCATTTTAAATTGATTTTAATTACTTTGAATGTAGCATGGTTGATAGCGCCAGACAATTTGAATTAAGGAACCGGCTGGTCAAACCCCCACAAGGCTGCCCGCTGGGATTGAAATGATGGGACGAGGCGTGAGTTTCTCAAAATGGGCTCATTGAGTCAGCACGGAGAAGATCTTGGAGAACGCACGGCTGCCGTGAACACTCAGAACAAGACCTCTGAGTGAAAAACTGGATTACATCTGGAGAGGCCAGCTCGAATAACACCTTTGAGCTCAAATTCGATCACATCTTGGGGAAGTGCACTGCGGTCGTGAGTTCTCAGAACCTGCTCTTTGAGCAAAAAGAACGACAACATCACGGAACGTAAGTTTGGATAACATCATGGAGAAGCTCGCGGCTCTCCAACGGGAGATTGAGAGACCAGTGTTGGACTGTTAGAACTGCTTTGAAATTCATATAAGTTGTTCGCACTAAAGTAAAAACTATCATCACTTCATGCGGAGACCCTCTCGGAGCTGAACAAAACACCCTGATAACGACTGCGTTTAGTCTGTTCCTTCCCATTCCATGCAAGGCCACCTGGGTTGGCTGGAAGACTGTTTACTTAGCCTGGCAGGGCGAAGGACACTGTCTCAGCTGAACTCTGGACACACACGCACACACACACACACACACACACACTGATATGCACACACTCATCCCCCCTCCCTTTCCAAACGCCTTCGATGCTTGTCCCCTCCCGGGGAAGATGGCGGTCGACTGGACCAGCGCAGACATGCTGCAGGACTGGATGCGCTGTCTACACCGGCTCTCTCTTATCCTTTACCCGCCCCTGTTGCTTGTCTTGTGTTTCTATGGTGTATTGATAGTCATGTGCTTTTTGTGCTGAGGTGTTTTTTCTGTTATCAAACTGTTCTCCCACTAGGAGCTCAGTCTGAGTGGAGTTTTTTTCTCCTCCTCTTACCTCATGTTATGTATTTTCGGTGTTTTTTTCCTATCAGCCGACCTTTCTGACGTGTCTCCCCAATGTGATGTTTGTGTAAAGTTGGTCTTTTTAATTTAACAAGTAATCAGAAATAATGTGTTACTGCCCATCTCTGCTAGTATATCTATATATGATTTCTGCTAATGGTTAATCGTATATAACTTGAATCAAATATAATTAAGTATAAATCAAATTAATATAGTGAAGGAGAACATGTAACACATTTAATGGAATAACTGTAATGCTTGAATTTTGACCAGATTTTTGTGTTTGTTGAGATTCAAAGAGGAAGTGCAGTAGAGTCTAAGGAGCTTGGAAAGAAAAGCGTCTGGACTTCTTTAAGTTTCCTGAAGACGTTTCTTCTCTCACGTGAGAAGCTTCTTCAGTTCCAAGGTCAAATGGTGGAGAGTCCCAGATTTAAGTCCAAGGGGACACACGAGCAAAATGGAGTCTATTAGGTAGAAATGATACAAACCACTGCAGTAAAGTACCTGTAATACCTACAGCGTGCTCTAATCACTCTAATAGGATATGATGGTCGACAGTATCGAACGCTGCACTGTCCACAAATTATATCAGTTTCCATTGAAACCAGCAACCATTCAGTCCTAAGGACAGTACATGTTACCCCAAGATAACGAGTGATATTCTGATGTCAGCTCTGTTTCAGCTCTTCACTAGAATTTCATTAAAGGACGAAACACATCAACGGCATTGTTGAGAAAGGCAGGATTGAAAGAGACTGAATTCTGAACTCATCGCATGTGACTCATTACTCCTCTGTTTATGTAAGCCTGTGTTTGCCTTTGCCCTCTGTCGTGTTGTACCTCCTCATGTGTGCAAGTCTCTCTGCATTTCTAGTTTCCTGTTGTTTGAGTTTTCAGGTCCCAGTGTTTTGTTTCTAGTTTCCATTTTTTCCAGTTTAGTTTGTTTTTTGTGAGTTTATATTTTGCACTATTTTCCCAGAAATAAAGCTGCTACCTTTAGTTTTACCTTCCATCTATGAGTCAAGCATTTGGGTCCAATCCTGCCGCACAGCTCCACATGGCAATTATACATGATTCTCCATGAGAAAAATGGTATGTTGCAATTGTTAAACACAGAATTGATTTTGCTGATAATCATGATAATTGCTTAGTACTGATCAGAATATTATCAGGTATAACTTTAATCAATGTACTAAATGGCCTGTTTGTGATTACTTGTCAACAACGGTGATTGGTTCTCATTGGCTCTGCTTTGAGATTCACCACCATCTCTAAGCAGCATACCCAACACATTACATTCATGCAAATGAATTGCATTCATGCGGTCAAATGTTGGAGCTATTTCCCCTATTTGTTGTGATCAGTGTTGGAAAAGAAAGTAATGTATTACACAAAACAAGCTTCTTCAAAGCAATACAGTACATTACTTAATTATTCCCAGGAGAAAGTAATTTGTTATACTACTAATTATGTTATTTTTGTGTTTCAACCCATTGCGTCATAGTTACAATTTAAAAATATAAACTTTTATGCTACAGTCCCACACACCAACACAAATAGTATGAATACAACAGCACAAAGCAAAGATGAAAACCAGCAAAAAGAGACTTTAACCTCCTAGGACCTGGCGTCCACATTTGTGGACATCACATTCTGGGATGTCTAGACCAAAATACCTCATTTTGCTCTACAACGGCCTGATATCCACTTTTTTTTTTTTTTGCCTGTCCCATTTGGTTCTTTAGCCGTCAGAATTGTTGTCTGAAGACCAACAAGGAGACCCAATGGATTTATTTTGCCAAATGGATCATCGTGGCATTGCCGTATTGGTCCATTTGATCGACCTTTGTTTTTATTATTTATTATATTTTATTTCCAGTTGTTACAGACGGGACAGACATGAGTGAGGGATAGGAAAGGGAGAAAGAACGATGAAGGAAAAGAAAAACAGAAGGGGAGAGGGACAGCGAGAAAGGGGGGGAGAAAAAAAAATCTCCTGGATCACCTTTTGAGAGAAAAAGAATAGAAAACAAGCAAAAAAACCCAAAGCAACATACTAAACACAACACCATCGCATTAATCTAGCTAAGTGTAAACAGCAGTAAATACTAAATATTCAATGTTGTTGTGCAGCACGCAGGACAGACAGCGCACAATGTGCTTTGAAGTTGCAGCCAAGAAAGGTGTAATTTAAGTCTACGAGCAGTGAACACCCGTGTGCACACCTGTGTGGATCAGCGTGCTTGTATTCAAATGGTTTCCCCATGTAATGGTCTGCAAGAGGATGTAGAGAGCCATAGCCCCGTCCCCCAGGGCATGAAGCAGGCATGGAGGAGATCCAGGCCCCAGACATCCAGAGGCCCCAGAGTGCGAGAGCCCAAGGAGGACCACCGTAGGGGCATCCGTGCCACCCTCTTGAGAAGAGCTGAGGAGAGCCCCAGATGAGGGGTCACCCAGTAGCCACCGAGCAGAAGCCAGAGGGGGCTGCACCGGCGTGCCCGCCGGCTCTGCCGGCAGCCAGCTGTGCCAGAGTGAACCGAGCCGCAGGCCCAGAGGCCGGAGGCCTGAGGGCCCCCCGCAACCCGGAGGAGGCCTAACTGAGCAACAGGCGCCAGGCCCCGCCAGGTAGCCACCGGGAGTGAGCTGGTACATACCTGAGCGCCCAGCCCCGGACACCAAGAACCACCAATGCACCGAAAAGATTTTTAGAATATCAACAAATTAAATCCATAGTAAAAAAGAAATTTAACCTCAGTCAAGTTGAATTACAAACACCACCAAGTGCGGCACATTTCCTTACTCTTAAATCCCCCAAATTATTATCTAAAATATACAGAACACTTTCTAAATTAGATGAGTCAAAATCCCTTCCTATTGCAAAGTGGGAAGTAGATCCATCAGTCAGCTTAGACCAAAACTTCTGGTCTCAAATTTGCTTAAAAACATTTCAATTGATTAAAAATCCCAGTCTGCAATTAATACAATACAAAATACTACATAGAGTGCACTATACAGGTCATCGGATGTTCAAGATGGGCTTTACATCTTCCAACAACTGCTCACACTGTCAAGGCAATACACCAGACAATTACATTCATGCTCTTTGGTTCTGTCCACCAGTGCAGAAGTTTTGGCGCGAGATATGTGAAGACTTATCAAAGTGTCTGAAATGTAAAATGACAGTGTGAGCAGTTGTTGGAAATTCCTCCCCTTTAGTGTGCTTGCTGGGAAAACTGGATGAGGTCACTACAGAAACGAATACAGTCCACGTGGTTTTTACTGCCCTATGCATCGCCAAGAAAACGGTCCTCATGAACTGGAAAAATAAAAATAATCTTAATTCTAGCCAATATAGAAACCTGGGTGGGCGGGTGGGTACACGGGGGCTCAGCCCTGGCGCAGGGGGCCTCTTGTGCATCGGCCTAACTGGGGGGCTCTTCAACTGGCGGGGAGGTTGTTCCATCCTTGCAGGAGTCCACTCTGCAGGTGGGGGAGAGACATAGGAGAGGTGGAGAATAAACTTAACCTGGGTGTCTGTTGTCTTGTGTAGTCTGGGAGACGATTGA